GATTTAAGCCACTCCCTTCAGACCTGAATTCAGCCTCCTCCTCTACCTCTAGCCACTGACAACACAGATCTCACTTCCCAGGGGAATATCCAAGTGAAGTGTCTGGGCTATATGTCCCTTGATGAAGATGTTCAGTTTTGTATAGAGCAAGGGATGCATTAGGTCACACAAAAAAGGACACATTGAGAGCAATGGTGATGCTGCAGCCCTGCCTGGTTAAGCAGCACACCTTGTTGGATAACAGATCGGCATCCTAGTTATGGAAGCAATGACTAAATTATTTTATTTGGTAACTAATTAAATATAAACTTCTTTGTGTAGCACCCTTCTAAAAGCAGCGTAAGTCCTTAGCATTTTTAATGAAAAAGGTAAACCACATAAATCTTACTGGAGCTAATTCGTAGTGAGAGTAAGTACTGCAAGCAAACCACTGTAGTTATCTGTTACCAGAATGCAGAAGCATAGAATCATTTAGGTTGGGAAAGACCTTTGCAAATCATTGAGTCCAACCATAAACCTAATGCTGCCAAGTCCACCATTTACTGTCAGAAGTAATAGCAGCAGTCACCTCATCAATTTCAAGAGAGAAATAATCTTTCAACATTTCAGTCTTCTTTTTCAGAAACTCCACAATGTACTCAGCAAGCCCTTCTTTTGGGCCATCTTCTTCTGTCCAGCCACTTTCAGGATCCTCTAAAGCAAGCATTGAAAGCTCATATAGAGGAGCTGGCTCCTAAAAATGGAGAAGGCAAAGTTGTTACAGATCAACATGCTCTACTGGAAATCTATAGCTTCTTCCTGCACACATACAAACTAACTGTAATATACTGTTACTAGCCTGCAAAGCAAACAGTTCTGCTTATCATAACCAGTCCAAAAAGTATGAATTTTTCTGATATAATTCTGAGCAGTCCACAATCCCACAAAGTGCTGTGATATTTCCAGGATAAACGCTAGCAACCAACACTGTATTTATGATAGATTGCGTAGTCAAATTATTTGTCCCAAGGTAATTAACAACAGCACAACTTGGATAGAAGTAACACTAATAACAAGCGTCTGGGATCATGACTTACAGCAGTAGCTACAAAATTACTAACGGTTTTCTACATTCTGTTCTTACTGTAAAAGAAATAAAACATCATTCTTTTAGTGGACAAAAACCAACCTGTAAAACTATACATTTGTCTGAAAGGTCAGAAATGTAAGAAAACCTTTTAATATAGGATATAATGTAAAATTATACTTACAGACAACCTTAAGATTCCAAAGTTTGCAAAGTCATAAATAAGTATCTGGTAGAAGAGTTCTTGGCTAAATTGAAAGACAAAAATTAGTTATATGGACAGGATCACATATCTCTGAGTTAGCATGATTAAAAGGGGAAAGTAAGGGTCATCATGTAAGCATTAGACAAACATATCCATTCATATTAACAAAGATCTTCCTTTAACTAACAGTTGAAGATTCACAGACACTATCTAGATGTTTACAATTAAATCTTTGTTTCTGACATCATCAGCCACATTGGTACAGAAATGCTACACACTCAAGCATGCAGCTGCTATCAGTTTATTCCCAACTACCTTATGTTTCAACCTCCTTAATCCTTTGCTGCACTGCAAGAAATGCACAGGAGCTTGGAAATTGATAGATGCGTCTACCTTACGTATATTCTCTTACTCGTTACAAAATTTAAGTAGCTGCCCTGTAAGGCTGCATATGCAAAAATACAAACTTTGTGTTATGATCATGTCCTGCAGCTCCTCTTAACCCAACGGGATACAGCATTTTACGTGACTTTTTTGAAGCCTCTGCTTGCTCATCTTTATACAGTGTGCTGTAGATGATCATGGAGCAAATAAACTGTCTTTCCCTTCCCCTGGTCTCTGAGCACACAGAGCTGGCATTTTAATTATGCCAATTCCCTGCAAGTTTTCCCAAGCACGCCAGACTGGTTTCCACTGTTCTGAACTGACTGCTTAACCTCTACCCTCATGACTTCTTGGATAGGCAACAACAATGATGTTTTTCTGTCATTTCCTTCCTTCTTCTAGTTAGCTTGTTAATTGGTACTTACTCAACTGCCAGCAAGTCTAACAGCTTCCTTACCTGAGTTTTGTTGTATTGAGAAGGTACAGTTTTGTCTGGTACTGGGCCAGAGCCCACTGAGGGCTGACACAGCCAACAAAGGAGTGGTCACGTAGCATCTCCTGAAGATCTGAAACAGTTGAGGGGGTGGGGGGAGGAAACAAAAGGATGTAATTTTGTATTTGCAACACTGCTCTAATATATTTGAGTGGTTTGTGCCTTTTTAGCATTAAAGGCTCAGATTACTGTTCAGTCACTACTACACCCCTGCTGCTTCTTATAGGCCTGTACTACCAGTTATCCATGTTTTAAAATATTTTTCATTTGTGTGCATCCGCATGTACTCTTATGTGTTATAACTCTTCTCACTTAGGCTTTAAAACAGTTAAAGTACAAATGCAAATTAAAAGAAAAAATAATAAATCTTGTTTGACTTGAAAAGCCTTTCAAAATCAGTTTCCACAGTTTCCAGCCACAGATTAGTAAGGGAGCACAGACATACTTCAAAGAAAACTGCAGCTGTAAAACAACTTTGCAAAAAAACTAGTATTGTCAGACTAAATTCTGAAAATGTGATAGAACAGGTCCATAACTTACTTATTTTTCTCCCTAAATAAGTTTCCAGCCTTCTCATTTTTTTTTTTATATATATA